TCCCTACATCCTAAACTTACCCTCTCTCTATCTGCTTCCCCACACCTCCTTCCCCTAGCTCTTCTATTTATTTTCCATAAGGATAAGGTAGTTCAAACCAACTGAATAAAATACATGGTAGTGGCCACAGTGCAGTCCTCCCTCAGAACCTACTATATTTCAAGTCATGGTGAGCCACTACATTGCATGCATTTCAACTCCCTCTTCATTCTCATAGCTGTGCTGTGACTGACTTTCTTATTTCCAATGACTCTCGTTTCTTCACCAGCCTTAAATATTTGGCAAATATCACCAAACAGGGCCCCAAACAGCTCACCCAGAATCCCTCTGTCAGCCCCTCTCTTAGCCTGTTACATATGATTAGTATGGCTCTGCCCTCCATGAGGTAAAGGCAAATCAAGTTCCCCTATGTCATCTACATATCAATTTTTGGAGGATCCATGGACTAGTGACAATAACACATGGTGCTAATCATGAGTAGGGACTAAGCAGCACATGGCCCCTTTGTGGGCGGGGTGGGGCTGGAAGGGAATCTGGAATACACACATATACTAAGCAATGCTGAGCTGTAGGGTCACTGTGGCTGGAAATGCTGTTGATTCTGCTCACTGGTTCTCCCAGTGAACTATATGGTAAATCATAATCCATTTCCCTTTGGACTAATATCATGTATAGTTGTACTATATATAAAGTAGGTGCCCAAGTGCTGCTTAAAAGTGTTTTTATGAAGTACCTGTACTAAAACTTGCAAGTTTCATAAAAGGTAAAATGCATCAGTTCTGGATCAATTAAATCTATGGGTACTGTATGCAAATCACTGCAGGCGTGTTTATTTCAATGTCCGTGTTTTCAAATTTCCTCCTCACTTCCATGTGCTTAGGGAGAGCAGGGTCTGATAGTATGGAAGGGGGGGGAAGGGCTGCAGGTGGAAAAACGTTGGAGAGGCTAGAGGGAAAAGGGGCTACCAGACCCCCCCCACCCCCAATTTATTTTCCCTACTGTAGGGGGGGGGAGGGGTACACATTTCAGACAAACCTCTGATAACCATTCTATACTTGGAAAACCACACAAATTTAAGTTTTCCATGTATAGAGTCTGATTATTGGGGGGGGTCCATCTTATAATCAGTGTCATCTTATATTTGAGTAAATATGGTACCCCTACTATACCATGTTTACAGGGCCCAAGTGAAGGATTGGCAGAAGCCCCAGTAAATAGCCTTTCTTTCTCCAATCTATTGTGCCAAGCAAGGGAGCTGCCAGCACCTCCACTGTAGGACTGCTCCATACAAATTTATCTCGGTATCTATACGTTCCTCCCCCTCAGGACATGGACAGACAAAATGATTATACTGACTTAAGGGGGAACTTTATTCTCTGCTGACCCACGGTAATATTTTGTGTGGCTGCTCTGTCCTGCAATGACCAGAAGCCAAAATGCAGTAATCCACCCCAAATGAAATGGGTAAGTTATGGTAGCTCAGCTTCTACTTCCTCACTGGAACATGGAAGACACGCAAAACAGGTACCGTGTGTCAGCTGGTGTACGGGGCGTTAGCTCCCTTCGATTTAGAATAATTTAGTCTGTTCACACTTAAAGCGTGCCACTGCTGCAGCCGTGGTGCTTGCTCTCTCGACTTTCCCCAATGGTCCACACGTTTCCGAGTCAGCACCCTAGTAGAGTTTGAATCCAACATGACAGCAGCCAGAATCCATTTCAGCAACTGTGTTGCAACCAAAAGGCAGGGGAGCTCTTTATTAAACTAACCCTCCACTGGCACTTCAACAGATAAGGAACTGGGCGCAGGAGTATGGGAAGGGACAGGAGTTGATAAGGATACAACTAGAGATTATTTATACTGTGTTTACTTGGTGACAGCTGGCACCAAAATGATTAAGCCCATCACTATGCTACTGGTGGTGAGTTAACAGTCATGATTGAGCTCTTCAAAGACAGCACAGAAGATTCAGACACACAGTGCTGTTAAATTGAAAAAGCATGTACCTCAATCCCTTGCACCAGGTTGAAAAACTTGTGGTAAGTGTTTACCAAGATGTCATATGCCATGTAATAAGCGTGTTTCCTTTTCAAACAGCTACTGTTACAGCTAGCATAAAGGGTTTTAACCAAGGAGATGATGGCACTACCTCGAGGAATTTATGTTCTAAAGAGACATTGTCAGTAACGTGCAGAACAATGCTTTCTTACCTAGCACTTTCATAACAAGTCTTTTTTTTGAGCCTTCTGGTTTTTAAAACACATTTTTAAATGTTTGCAATCATTCTGTTAAGTGGGATGGCTAGTCAGCCAAGAGGCATGAATGTGTTGCTGTGGTTAGAGTTGCTAGCTGTAATAATGTTATATGGAACATTTCTCTTTTGGGCATAAATTTGAACACAGCCCACGTCGGTAGTTCTCAAAGACTTTACAGAGAGAGTTGGTAGGACACTATTTTATATTGCCATCAGGAAGGAAGCAGCACATTTAGACCTCCTTGTTGTTCTCTGTGGAGAGGTCAAAAACACTAGATACGCCCAAACAAGGAACTTCTCAGGCCCAGTAACATAAATGCAACAGGGCAAGCTTGAGAGGCAGAGGCAAGGTAGAAAGGAGCAGCTTATAGTACCAGTTCCTATACTCAGAGCTGACTTAGGGACAACCAATTTCTGTATCCAGCAAAAATTAATCCAGCACTTCCCCCAGTGGGTTTTGGTTTTTTTTGGCAATAAAATTAATGCATTCCCCATCTGAAAGAGGTAGAAAAGTGAGAGAAGCCAATAAACTTACAATGGTTCCTTTAAGCCAAGAATAAACTAAAACAAGATATTATATCGATGGCTGGCATATCCAAGCATCTTTCTACTGGCAGCAGCCATCCTATGGAAGTGACATTACCCAAGTTGCCCCCAGCATGGAAGACTGATGCCAGAGATTGCAGAGCGTCTAGAACGTGTTTTATAATCTCTTTTTGATTTGAACAAATTATTTTTTAAAACTTTACATTTTAAACACAACTTTAAACATTTAAAAGAGAGAGACTCAATATTTAAAGGTTGGCATCCTTGCTTGGATTGTTAGACTAGGGTTATAGAAGAATCAAGGCTTTAAAAGAGCCTTTTTATTTCAGCTTCCTATGAAGTGAGTCTGCTAGGCTGCATCCAGATGAGCGTGGACTTTTGGTTCTTGGGGACAACTAACAGCTGCACACCTGGTGCCACTGCTCATCTGCCATTGCAGCAGAAGCTCAACAGCGATCTGTTTTGCTTCCTTGAAAGGAATGCGAGGGGAGAGTGAAGGCAAAAGACAAGATACCAGGAGGTAAACAATTAAATATACAAGTTACAGTGCCAAGGTCCACTTGTATCTGCTCCCATGATCACCACTTCCATAGTTCCCTCTGTACCATCTAGCGAGTTCTCCCTGACTGCAAGTATATTAGATAAATGAACCACTCAGATCCTGGTAATGCACATACCAATGGTGTTGCATGTCTTTGCTACCCATTCATTTCCTGGACTGTTCTTTCCTACCTCTAAGTATGATACTTTAACATTAGAGTGGCACTTACAACTGGACACGCACCAGTCCATTCCCACCAAAGCTGTGCCTTGTGGGAGACTGTGCAAGGCATTGAGCAGCACCAAGGGATTTTGAAAAAAAGTGGGGTTGAGCTCCTGCAATTTATTGAAAACACACCCACTTGCTGTGGGGATCTCTAGGGGTCAAACCAACCCTCCTCAACAACCACACCTGTGCTGCAAGGTAGCAGCGAGAGAAATGCCTGAATGTGCAGTGTGGATGCAGCCCTAAGTGATACCAGCTAGGGACAGACATTACACATAAATTGGTACAAGCGACGGAAACTAGTTCAAATTTGTAACGCAACAAAAGTTCAGCAAAGCAACTACTCTCAGAACGGCTGAAATAAGTTTACAATAAATCTGCATGGATATAGTATCAGACTTAACTGATTTAAGTTAAAATCAAAATTTATTGAACTGCTGTCCCAGATCCCCTCCAGATTCAAGTGAAGTTGTTGGCTAAGACCTGGCACAATCATCACATAAGTGTGATGGAGACAGAGCTAAGGTAATTTTCTGGTGTTTTTTTGGTTTATCATATTGCATGTTAAAGTTGTGTGTGCTGTCACTGTGCCTTACCGGGCTATATCTTAGCTTAGCTGAAATTTTCTGTTTGTTACATGCTTGAAGTTGCAAATTGCTGTGCTCAATGAATGCTCTCTTCAAAGAATGGACTATTCTTGTTCAAGCATTTATGAATTCAGTGCCACTGCCTAAAGTCTAATATTAAATCTGGTAACAAACTCAGTCCCCAAGCATCCAGGATGCTTTGCACCTCCCCCCCAAACTTCCCCTCGCAGGTTGGGAGGGCTAGCCTTGGCCCAAAGTCTGCTCCAGCCGAGCAGGAGGGCATGCTTCTGGCTTCGAGCCTGGGCCGCTGCAGGCATGCACCTGCATTTCTGGAATCAAAAGTGAACGTCTGTTCACTCAATCAGGTCAATCTACACAGCTTAAGCAAACCTGCGAAGATTGAATTGATTCAGCCTCGGGCTTTTTGACTGTCTGCTGTGTTTATAGTGATACTAATGCTGTGTTCAGGAGGTTCAAACACTGCGTAGGTAGAAGCCACGAGCTCTATACTAGGACCCAGGATAAATGAACTTAGATCAAAGGACTCTGCGCTAAGCCCAAGTTTAATTGCCACACACAGTTGAGTCTTTTTTTCCCCCCCCTTGGTGAGAACGCTGGATTCTGCAAAGAGCTGCAGCACGTGCTCGACAACATTTGCAAAAAAAAGACAGGGTGTGTCAGTTGAAAATCCCCACAAAATCTAGGATACCCACCCCTTCAGTCAATGCAGGGTACATATTTTTCAGGGGCATGAGGTTTATTCCTAGGCAGAGCCGAACAGTGAATTCACATATTATCTAGGGAGTCAAGCACACACCTTTCCCAGCTCTGCTCCTTCCCTCTGCTTCTCCTTTTCAGGTTTGTTTCCTTCAGTTAACACACATTTGTCACCGTTTGCCTCCGTTTTGAAGAAGCGCTTTCCTTTACAGCCTCCACGATCTTCCACACCCCCTCTCCCACTCATTTTCAGCATTTCTCCCCTGCTTAATTCCATTACGTTCAGGGTTCTCATTCAGCGAGATTTGCTCTGCTATAAGAGATCAGTACTTTCCTTTAACAGTGAAGGGAATACTATTAAAGGAAGGTGGTCTCAAAATTTATGGAGGAGGTGGCATTTCATTGGCGTGACTCTTTAGGAATCCAAGTCATGGCACCTTAGAGCTTGAACGCTTAAAACTGACCCTGCAAAGCACTTGCATCTCTTCTTAGTTTTCTGCAAATCTGTCCTGTTGACTTCACTGAGATGGGCTCATGTGCTTGAGGCACTAGGGTACTTTGGTGGATCAGGGCTGGAGTACCCTGTCCATCCAATTCATTTTTTGGAGAGAAGCATGAGAGGGGGGAAACATGCAACCTGGCCATTTCCCACTCAACAGGAACTACAAGTGATGCAAGAAAGGACTTCAAGCTCTGCTTGCCAGCAGATACCAGCCGCCCTTTCCCCAACACCACCTCTGCTCCAGATCTCAGCACCATCTCCACCACAGCAGCCCATGCTGAATCAACTGCTTTTGGGACTCTCCCCCAAACTCGTTCCTCTGGTATCTTTGCCCGAGTGGCTCTGACCTGAACAAGAGCCACATATCTTCCCCACCATTGCCTCCCAAGAGCATCCCACTGAACTGCCACAGGCATCCAAACCTTTCTCCCACCTGCTCCCTATGGTGCCCATGTCCACTGCCTCGTTCCTCTCCCACCCAGCTGTTCTGAAGTGGTTGCAGCTGCGTGTAGGGTGGCTCTTAGACAAAGACCAGCCAGAAGTCGGTCTTCCTCCGCACCCTGCTCGCTTCTCTTTTTTCCCCTCATGCTTCCCTCTGTGCTGCCTCGGTAATGGGGTCTACTGCTGTCTTACTCCTCAGGCAGCCCTCAGCTCCCCTTCCAGGGGCACGTGGGGGAAGCGATCCAGATTCTCTTCTTCCTCTTGCAAGCTCTCAGTGCGGCACAGCAGAAGTGAATGCAGCAGGTGTGTGGGGAAAGAACTAGGGAAGTGAGGAAGCAGAGTGGTTCATCCCACGTACGCATGATGGAGACATCTGTAAGGAGAGTGGCAGCACCAGAGTGTTTCAGGGAAACCGTGTCATCTTAAGTGACCTAGACAGGAGCTAGGCAGGGTTGAGGGGATGTACCTTCCCCTGCAGCTCCCTGTGACCTGACCCATTCACTCCACACCAGCGGTCACATCATCAGACCCTTCTAGGTCCCTTTGGTGCTTATCCAAAGAATAGTGGGGCAGTTCTGGAAACACTTTACCTTCTCGATTCGCAGGGGACGTCCATCTTTGTTCCACTTGACGAGGGTGACTGGTGGCTCTGCCTCAACTGGACAGCGGATGTATCCATGTATCCCAATGGGAACGTAAAGGATGGGTGGCATGTTCACCACACGGGCAGGATCTGGTAGAGCAGGATAAAGTTATCGTGCGGAAAATAGGCTAACCTTTCCCTTCCCTTAACATGAAGGAAATTCCAGGCTTTTGTTACTGCACCCTGGTGCGAAAGAGTCAACATCATTGCTATAATGGAGTTCAAAACCCAAACGCTAATCCTGCAGCATTCATTATCCCCTGATGCTAAAGACTTATCTTCAGGCCCATCGTTCTCTCTAAATCCATTATAATACTAAGCATATGTATAAAGGTTGTAGTGTTTTTACTATCCTAGCCTAGGCCCATGGAAAATTCTCTTTAAAAAACGCGTATACAACATACGTCTCGTCCCCGTGTCTGCTTTAACTCCCTCTTGGTCCAGAAGGTCCTAGATCTCTCACTTGTTTTCAACCAATCTGGCCTCGTGGCTCACAAAAAACTACTGGATCAAGAAAGGGAAAATTTCCTACAGTGAAGTATGCTCTGCGGAGAGAGCTCAGAGCCCAGCACACGCACTGTAGCTAACAGTGACATGGAAAAAAGCCCCAAAAGCTACAGAACAGGGAAAACCCAGGCTTGCTTTCTATTTCTTGAAGCCTCAAAAATTCTAGCCTAGGAAGTGACTTTAGTTAATTGGAGAACTTTTTAAAGGGTCCCAGTACCAGAACCTCAAAGAAATGAAAGCTGGAGCAATTAAGAAAGTAAAGAATTTTTCAGGCAAGTTATTGCAAACTATTTGCTTGCTGTTTGTTTCTGGAATCACTCAATGTCCTATTAACATTCAGGAGAAAGGATTTCTCTGTTAAAGATTAAACATCTCCACCCGTTCAAAGAAGATGCGAAAGCTCACAATATGGCTGAGATTCTCACCCACCCACACAAGTCTTCCAGCAACCCAAAGAACAGATTTCTAGGAGAGATATTTTTTTTTTTTAATTAAATGTGGGTGAGGGAGGGAACTCTAAACTTCTTTTAGAAGCAAAAAAATACCCAGTTCTTTTAAAGATATTGGCTTCAACACAAAAGAAGACAAGGCATCTTGAAAATGTATCTAAACAGTGACAGCATCAACCTCACACAAACTCTGAACGTGAACATGCTGCATCTGCTCAGACCATGACTTGTACACGTGAGACTTTGCCCTTGTAACTCAGCTGACATGCTACAGGGTCAAGCCCTTCTATGCAGACTGAAGCACAGAATAGAAAGAGCAGACAAACCATTTTCCAAGTGTGGCATTCAAGGCACAGAGGGCTTCATGTGAAATGCCTAATGTCACACCGCAAATTAATCTGAGCCAAAAAGTAGATCCCAAAGGACCACGAGTCCCAATTCTCACATATGTATGTGCTCCTCTTTAAAGTTCTGCAGAGAGCCAAAGCTTATTTAGGCCAATGGGAGTCTTTGTATGGATATCAGCCGCCTTTGGATCAAGCCTTCTATCCTCCAACTTCACGTATGGAGTCTCCATCCTAAAATTATGAGAGTAAATCAGGAGCCAACTGGTGACTCCTGCATTTTAAAACAAAGGGGCAAGTCAAGTTGGGAGTTTCAAGACATCAGGCCCCCTTCCCTCTGCCTCTTCTTCAAGGGAGAATTACAGCAGAGATCCACAAAAACACTGTTACTCTGCAGCTGCCACAGAAGGGGCTACACAAAGGTTTAGAAAGAGACGAAAGCCCATTTTTGTGAATCACTTTAAATGAAAGTGAACGTGGGACATGCAGGGTGTTCCACAGAGTAGAAAGGCAAGAACTGAGTGGACCCGAAACGAAACTACTCCAAAGGAAAAGGAGTTTTCTGCAAAAGTTACCTACATCAAGGGCCCACATGCCCCCACCCATCCAGAATTTTGGAGATGCTATTTAGCTATTTCAGGCCCCCACCTGAAGCAGCAGCATACAAAACACTATTTTTTTTTTCTTCTTGGAGATCTGGTCACCAAATCACTCGTCTGATTCTCAGTTATACCCTCCTCCCTGACCCCATGCCGCCTCTCTGCATGGTTAGGCAGAGAGGAAGAAACAATTTATTTCCCTAAATAAACTCAGAGTGATGTTATGATCCAGCCATTGTCAAGGACAAGTGATGGGGGGGTGGGGAAGGGGAATTTCTTCTGTGACGGATCTCAACATATACAAAGTTGATAAGAAAGAATTAGTCTGTTATGCTGGTTTGGGGGTGTCTTTTTTCCCCTGTATGTTTGATGGCTTGCCACAAGAGAAAAACAACAGCAAAAAGGTAAAATGGAGAGATCTTAAAGATTGGAAACTGAATTATTAAAGTCCATACAAGACCTTACGCTATTGGCTCCCAAACACGGCCAGAAAAACTCTCTCTCCATGAATTTTGGGCACTGCTATTTGCAGAACTGAAGTCCATGTTGGTGTATGTAGGGAGTTGGGAGGGGTGGGGGCTGGGTATAGAAAAAGTTTCACTTCCCCAACCTCCTACCTTGGACATTTTAACACCAGTCATTTTCTCCAGCCCACCAATGAGAGTTACCAAAGTCATGCAATTCTGGTTGCGATGCTGGAACAGACTGGAAAACCTGTGCGTGTGTGGAATCGTTCTACCCTCCATACTCCAAGGAAACGTAGTAAGACAGACTGGATGGCTCAATGGATTAGTGAAGGGATCCATAGCCCAAAACTTCTCACTGGCTGGCATCGAATCTGGTTCAGTAACAGCCAAATGCACCAGATTCTGCTATATTGATTTGATATCTAAGAGCCCAAGCGTCATCTTATTCTGCCCTACTTTAGTCCCTGGAAATCCATTTGACCATCTAGTAGACTCCCTGCCCATAGAAGGCTGTTCCCGAGAGTACATTTACCAGTAGTATCCTACTCCAGAATCAGTTGGCCTTCAGGACAGAGTTTAAGGCCCACGGCTTTGTTCCAACTTTTGCCTCCACTTACTAAAACAAAACACTTCAGGGTTTTAATAGCAATAAGGTAAAATAAGGGCACAGTCAGTACTGCAAGATGTAGCAGTTTGGGTCATTACTGCAGAAAGCTGTAGGAGGAGAGGAGATGCTACATGTGAAGATGCTGGGAGGTGGAGAAACATTCCCTTCAGAATCTGCTCTCTTCATTTTGTTTACACCATTTACCTGCTTGAGTTTAACATTTTCAAAATGCAAATATATGCAGAGGAGGCAGCAACACTAACAGGGTTTTACAGTTATACACACATGAAAAAAAAAGATAGGCAGACATATGGTATCAGGTGTCACCATCTGATATCCCCATGTAATAGATGCAGTTTGCTAGTAATCGAGGTTAATAAGCATTTCGTGCCATAAGCAGGCAAGTCGGACACTGTTCTAAAAAAAGTGTCCAGCCTTTTATAAGCTGCAGTAATATTTCTTTCTGCCTAGACATGGTAAGAGGAAAGAAGTCCCAATCTGAGGCATTTCACCAACTTCCATCGCCATCTTACCTGCACCCAAATCCCAATAAGACAGAGCCTCACTGAGCTACCCAGAGATGACTCTCAAAGTAAGCTCCATTCTGCGCTCCCGGAGACAAGAGGGTTAGACCATGCTGGCCTTTCAACTTGTCTCAACATCTTCACTAGTGCCAAGTGGGTGTATAATACTCTCCTTTTGGTCAGGTAGTATTTAAAGTCCTTCACACTGGCCTAGATAACAAGACAAGGTGCAAAGTAGTGATAACCCAGGCCGTGGGGAGAAGATCTGGCCTATTCTGTATGTGAATGCAGAATTGAGTTTCTTTGCCTTTGGTTACATTGGAAAGCTCTGGCAGAGAGTTGGGTCAAAACCCTAGTCTTCAGAGCAACCATGGGCTGCGAGTCTCAGAAGTGCCTAGCACAATACAGAAGGGCAGAGGGAATCTGACCCACCCTTTATTGCAGTGAGCTGTTATCAGGGATTTCTCAGAAGTATTAACCACCCTCTAAAATACCAGATACTGGCAGTCCAATGTACTCAAAGCATCCGTTGTCTGATCCAATGTGGCAAGTGTCAGGCACTGCTGCATCTAAAGTAATTAACCCCAAGACTATGCCAGCCAGGTCTCAGCAGATCCAGCAGTCTAATGCCACTTTAAAATCATTTGAACCCCGCTCCATGTTTCTTTCACAACCACCTGACTCAGAGTCCCTGGCAGTGACACCAACAGGAAGAAATTCTTTATGGCGATGGTTGCCAAAACATGGAATGGGCTTCCAAGGGTGGTGGTGCTTTCCCCTACCTTGGAGATGTTTAAACAGAGATTAGACAAGCACCTAGCTGGGGTTACTTGACCCCAGCGCTCTTTCCTGCCCAGAGCAGGGGGTCAGACATGCTGATCCAATAGGTCTCTTCCGACCCTAGAAATCTCTGAACCGAAAGGCCAGCCAGAAAGCCTCTAGGTCTGGTTGACACTGACTTTTAGGCCACCTACTTCCCACTGCATGCTGTAGCCTACTGGCCCCAGCCCATTCCTCTGCATGAGAAGTCCAGGCTCACAAGCCTCTCTGCCTTCCTGTCTCCACTCACACTGCACTGTCAGGTAGGCAAAGGCAGATGGTGAGCGGCCAAGGCTGTTGCTAGGGATGCAGGTGTATTTCCCAGAATCCTCCGGTTTGACGCGAAAGATGATCAAAGTCCCATCAATCAGGATCCGAACCCTCAGTTTCAGGTCACTGCAGAGAAGAGAAAAAAGAAGGGAAAAAGATGTGTGGAAGGGCTAGAAGAGAACCGGAGCGAGGGGTCAGCAGTCCCCAGCCTACCCCAGGGGAGCTGCACCCCGTCCGCTGCAGGGAGCTGGCAGAGTGCTCCCACCCTGCTTGGGACAGGAGGCACGTGGTGCTCCTAGCACCGCAGGAAGATGCACCAACCTGGCACAAGCCGGAGAGGCCGCTCTGGAAGGGTAACCCATCCAGCACATGGAGATGCCCAGAACAGCAGCCCCACTCCCTTTCCTACTCAGGGAGGTATAGCACGGACCGCAGAGCAGCAACCACTCTCAACCTGAGCCAGGGGACCGAGACCCGACATCAAGCTTACTTCTTAAAGTAGACGTTCTCCTCCTCCCAGTACCAAGTGTAAGTCAGGTTGCCCGGATACGCCTCGGCCTGGCAGGTGAACAGTGCATCCTGGGAGATGTTGACGGTGATGTTCTCTGGAGGGGAAACGATGAACGGGGGTCCTGGGGGACAGCAGGAGACAAACAGTTACTTCAGCAGCTGAAAGGCAGTGCTAAGCATACAGACTTGAACATGCAGGCAGCTCCAGGAAGGACAGGCTGCAAAACAGCCTCTCTGGACAGAGGCAGGATCCTGCTCCCTCCTCTCACAGGCTCTGCCACTTGAATTCTCTCTCTATTACCTCTCCGTATTTTTTGTTTCTTTTAAATTATGTATCCCAGGCCAAACTGGCCAAAAGTAATTCCAAATCCAAGAGTCCAGAACTGTAAGTGGCCCTGCTACTGGCAAACATCCTCCACCCCATCTGGGGCTTCAGATGTTCCCAAAAGCTTTGGTGGGCATCCTACTTGCGGGCCCAAGCCCGGAGGCTTGGGGTTCGGATGTCCCCAAGTTATACTTGCCTTCAGCCATAAGGCCCTCAGAGCAAGCTAGGGAGAAGACTTCCACTTCCATAAAGCCGCTACACCTCGGCGGGTACTAAACCACACCAGCAGAGCAGTTCTCCTCGAGTGTGCTTTAGGAAAACTGCCTTCATGGACACAGATGCATGGTATTTCCCCTGCCAGGTTAAGAACTTGATCTGAGCCCACAAGAGGCCAAGAAGTGATCCATGACCAGGCGCTACGCTTGATCTGCACCAAAAGGTACCTCTCCATATATTCCAGCTGGCTTGAATGACTGCCATACTGGCTCCCCTGTGCACACAAGCTTGGCTCCAACCCAGAGCTCTGCCAACACAATTGGGTCAGCGATAGAGCCCTTCACTCCGGAGCAAATATGTTCAGGCATGGCCCTCCACCAAAAGGGATAAAAGGGTAGCTAGCACTATACCAGGAGGGGATGCTGTACCTTTAAAGCAAGCAGGGAGGGACTGTGAGCTCTGTTGTAAGACAATCATGCAGCAGCAGTAAAGGGGAGGGGAAGTGGGCCTGGAACAGGGTTAAACTTTAAGCAGCGTAAGCCTCCAAGCTGTCTGGATGGGAGGACAGCATGTTCTGCTAGCAGCTCTCCCACCCTCCCCCAGGCCTCTGCAGAAGGGCAGAGTTCAGAGTATGAACTAAACATTCAGTCCTTAAGATGGAGGAGAGGGGAAGGAGCAGAAGATGAGCTCAAAGGAGGTAGGGAACACAGGCACCTGAGCAAGACAGGCTCTGGCCACACTACCCTGGTGGGGGCAACCCAGCTGGACACCCACACATCTGCTGCAGCTGCCGTGCTGAAGGTACTGCTCATTACCACAAGAGACACCGTGCCCTCTATTCATCTCCCCACGCACACCTCTTCTTCAGCCTTGCATCTTTCCAGCACCCAGCTCAGTTGCTTCCAACTCCAACACCAGCCAAGGTGAAAGAATGCTTCTCTATAGTCCAAGCAGTGCAGTCCAGCACCCTGGGCTCCTGCATTGTATTCCCTGTTATGAGGCTGTGTGATCCCACAGTCAGAGCAAAACTGGAAGTCAGGACTCCAGGGTCCTATTTCTGATTTTGCCACTGGGTGAGCTTGAGCAAAAAAATCACTTAGTCTCAGTTTCTCATCTCCATCCTTGCCTTGCTGGTCCATTATCAGCTACACAAGTGCCCCAGCATATACTGCTTAACACATCTGCTAACACAAGGCATTTTCCTAGTGCAGTTATGGCCTGGGGGTAAAAACCAGAGGAGCAGCAACCTGCCCAGGCTGTGGCAAGGATTAGTTAATGTCTTTTAAACCCTTTGAAGGTGGATAGAGCTGTATAAGTAGAGTGTGTCACCCAGGGGCTCAATAGGTGTGAAATTCTAAGCTCTCTTCCTTTGCAGCAAGGACTGACCCAGCAGACTCACAAAGGAAACAGAAGCAGGTTTCCAGGGGAAAGGGCCCTGCATGTGTTGCCTTCATTGCACACAGCACTTCATGGCATTTTAAAAATCTTTCCATGCTTCTTAAACAATCAATCAACACCTCTGTTAAAAAAAAAAAAAAAAAAATTGGGACAACTGCTTAATCAGGATGACAGGCCGTCCACTGGGGTGTCCCAATTAAGTGGATTTTTCTGTGGTGTGAAAGGCTTTCGGAGCCATTAGGCACTCGTACAGCAGCTGTGCGCCCCACGCAGACACAAGTGCACACACAGCTCTTTCTAAGCAGGCAAGGGCTCCAGGTTCCTTTCCGGCAGCAACACAACGCTCGGTAATGAGCAAGCGTGGAGCCCTCCGGAAAGTGACTGCTCCGTCCCACAGTGACACATCCTCCGTACAGTAGGAATTAAAAGGACGCGAGTCTGAAACAAGTTCTCAAGCATTTTCGTAACGTGGATCACATGTGAGCCATGAGACTAAATGGAAGTGGGTCATCTCTCTCATTGACATAACTTCCCTGTGGCAACTACAGCAATTGCTTATGGGAAAGATAATATTAGGAAAGTACTTATTTGTCTTTAGCCTCTTCTAATGCAATACAGCAGCTGGGAACGAGAGGGAACCAGCACCATGTGATCAGCCATGTCTTCCCTTAACACCAAGTGCTCTATTGACCACGGGTTTCAATACAGCTATGCTAGGAGATTGGCAGTGGCTTTCTACTAGCACAAGGCTGTCCCTGTTGGGGAAATGCACTGCATATTATAATTTTTAAAAGTTTCTGGACCGGGGGTGCTGATAAAAAACTCCAGGATACGATGACACCTTTTCTCCCCCTACAGTTTAACCACGCTCCTTTAAGATACAGGATGGACACTAAAAACCTGTAGGTGTTGTGTGCCATTTTCTAGGCAGGTTGTAAGCTGCTGGCCTTCCTGTCACTTGGGGGACCCTCCTGATTTTGCCACCTTCAAACCTAGTCAGTCCAACTGTGTGTGTCACATTAACCAGAGTCCTTAGGGCAACCCAATAATAGGTCCTCACCTTAATGCACCCCTCAGCTAGACTGGCAAGTCTTTCATTGAAAAAGGGGAAGTGCCATTAAACCTATTTAGACAGGGAAATAGATGCCCAGGGAAGGTGTGGCTTGCCCAACATCACAAAGGGACTCGGTTGCAGAGCCAAAAATTAAACTTAAGGGTTCTGGCTCCCAGCTTGTAACCTGCGCACCACAGCATACTGCCTCCCACAAAGGGCATGGGGCAGAGGCAATGGGACACTGAGCCCCAGCGGGATGATTCGGACCCTCTCCCTGCAGGATACAGTGGAGATGATGCCAGCCAACAGAAGGAAAAACATGGGGAAGTGTGCAACACAGACAAGCACGAGACCATGAATCCTAGGACAAACCCTGCTCCAGCCAACAGCCCAGTTGCTCTGACACTAGGCTCCTGGCTTCACTATAAGCCGAAACATCAATTCTAAGGTTGCATTCCTCGGTCTGGTCAGATAAGCTGGCATCCTTTGATGTTCTTTAATCATCTGGGGTTTGGGCTTAATTTCCTTGTTTATTTATTGATGGGGTTTTTAATGGAAGTTTGGGAGAAGGCCACAGCTCTCTTGCAAGAGGCCACACAGCAGCCTGCTGTGGACCAGACATGATGGCCTAAACCCAACCTCTACCCCAAAGCAACCCAGCCTTCCCCATGCCACACACTCCCCTCCCAGGCACGTAGTGGGAAATGCCGCCCACACCCGCCTGTAAAGCACGCAGGATGCCAGGGACCATGCATTTATTGTTTTTGCTTATCCATCTGTTGGCAAGTTTGCTCGGGGCGGGGTGCCCTTAATTAATGAGAAATTGTTTTTATGGCTGCTTAACACCACAAGTGTGTTTGTGGGAGTGTGGGGGATGCTTTACAAATAAAAATAGTATTTATCATGTGTTTGCATGGCACCAGCACAACAGGGACCAAGCTGCTTGAAACCCTTCAATATTCCCACAGCAGAGGAGTAAATATAAAAAAATTGGGGAATACCCAAATTAAACAACAACGCTAATGCTACCCAGAGTTTCCTTCACATCTTTGGGAGGGGGAGCGTGGAGGACTCAGGAGTTTTGCAGTGTCTTTTTTTACCCAAGGCTCACAAAGCTCTTTAGAAACGTGCACTCACTAAGCTATCCAACCTTAAAATGAGGAGAACCACCTGTTTCACAGAGAGCAAAACTGGGATTACTTGATACTTGAAAGACGGTTTACTTGGCAGTGAGTCCATGACAGAACCTGGAACAAGCCTCAGCAGTCCTGCCTCCCAACCCACTGCTCTTGCCACTCTCAAGCTGCTGTACAATAACCCCATGGAAGAGTCTTCATTAGAAACCTAATGCAAAGCCCAAAGCAAGCTCTTATTTTCCCGTGACAATATTCATGTTCACCCTTCAGACTCATGAAGCCTGTAGAGACTCTGCACCTACATCAGCAACAGACAACTGAACACAACTATTTCTCTCCCCCCACAGCTTAGGATGGCAATGATAACGTAGGGATGGGAACTCCCTGCTAGCGAGATACAGCCTGGCCCGAGGTCCCATAATATCTGCCTCCGGTCAATACCCATTAAGGCTCTGCAGACGATCATTTATGGGGCTGAACGGTGCAGATTCTCCTGCATGTCTCCGTTCCTGGCACACCTTTCTGGAGATGCTCTCATTTCAAAGCTACACTCAGCTGAAGCACGCCAACAATAGGAATCCCCCCCAGGAGCCTCTTGTTAAATGAGTTACCTTGTACAAGCAGGCGAGTGGTATGCACAGCCTCCCCCTGGATGCTGTAAGCCCGGCAGGTGTAAGCGCCTCGGTCTTCCCGGCTGACAGAGATGACAGTCAAACTCCCATCGCTTACCTAGGGATCAGGCATGAGGGAGAAACTTCAGTGCATGCAAGAACAAGATGCTAACACCCCCTTCATGACCCCTGGACACAGCTCACATACCCCACTAACCAAGCAGAAAGCAACTGCCCCCTCTTACAGCCTTACTTCCATGCGCTGCTTCAAACTCACTTGCCCTGGGCTGCCATGCACACCTCTGAGCTCACTGTAGACTGCTCAGCCTTGTCATCTGCCTCAAATGAAGAATTTCCCTGGCCATCAGCAATAGGAGTGATGAGAGTCTGAAAAAAGGTTATGTGATGGTCCACTGACAGATCAGTCCAGAGGGAGCCCGCTGCTGACAGCGCTATGGAGACAGAATTCTTCTCTCATCACAAAGCACGCCTCACTCATTCACTCCCACTCCACACACATCAAATCCTGGAAACTAAATAACATAACACAGCTGCCTTACAATGGCCCTGAGTGCATACCATTAAGCACATCCAAGACAGAGCCTACAAGCAGCATGGGGAATGCACTCAGGGCCACTTGAAGGAGGCTGCATTGCCTCATTTGTGGGGGTCAGAGCATGCAAGGTGAGAACAAGCAGGAGTGCTTCACCATGGCACTCCCAGACATAGGGCACAGACCACGCCTGCTATGGCTGTGGCATTAGAAGAGCTAGTCTTACACACTGCTGAGCATGTTCAGAGCAGGTTTTATGACCCAAGGGTACCAAGTTCTTCCCATCTGCCAACCTGAGATTACCGTGTGCAGCTGCAAGCTGGAGCCCAAGGGGCATCAAGTTAGCTACCAGGTCCTCCAGCTGAGTGTTAGGAATACACCCCAAAAGGAGGGCCCGTCACAAGCAGGGCTGGGCACAAAATAGCTTTCCGGCCAACAAAACTCCAATATTGCAAAACTGTTCTGCTCCCCAGCAAGGGGAAACCAAGCTCTTTCAAACCACTTTGTGGAAGGACAGAGACACCCACACATCCTAAACAGGCACATCCCCACAAAATGTTTCTATTTCAAGGTTTCACCAAAAAAGTTTTGCAAAAAAACCTCCAGGCAATCCCTATGTTACAGTTATGGAAAGAGACCCTGAAATCAAGGGCTTGCTCTAGACTTGGGAATGGTCTGATCCCCATAACCTGCCCTAACTACACTCAGCCCCAGGAGGGATCTCCCTGTGGCAGCGATTCTCAGCTGGGGAGCCGCAGCACGCTGGGGTGCCACCAGATCCTTTAAAGAGTGCCAGGAGGCTTAAGGAGATGAGCATAGGATCAGGCCGGTCTCTGCCAGGCCTGCCTCCCATCCCCACTACCCCACCCCTCTGCAAGGAGGTAAGCGCTGGAATATATTAAGTCTGCTCTTGACATTGGGTGCCACTACACTGTCATGGAGGGGTGCCTCGAGTCCAAAAAGGGTGAGAGCTGCCCCATGGCAAAGTCCGCTGGCGTGTGCAGCCCTGCTCACGCTGTATGTGGGTCACAGGACTTCTCTCCAGAGCTGCCAGCACAGCACTTTTCACCGCAATTTGAGAGGCCAAATTCTTTTCAGGCTTAACTTGGCCCAGCTCCACCAACTCCCAACACAGAACCCGCCCCAGTCAGCCTATGCCAGGCTGTGACGTAGGGACTTGGACGGCCGCGAGTCAGGCACGTGCAGGTATTTGTGGGTAACAACCAAAATATCATCATCTGTGGCTGCGGACTGATGCTCACTACAGCAAGCTAAGTTCCCCCTTCGTTCCCTTCCCTCCAAGTCAGGATGGGGACTGTTTGCTCTCATTAACTTCTGGCAGGTAAGAGACTACTTAGCCAGGAGCTCTGGTTGCTCAGCAGGGGAGGAAATGCATCAGGGCCATCCTTCCAACCCCTTCTTTACTGCCGTGGCTCCTCCCTTCTTCCTCCAGGCAGGCACATTAGCAGAAGCCTGTCCCACAGGGGCTGTGGTGTGATCGACAATGTTGCATAGAGCCATTACCAAGCCGGTACCATTTCCCCATGCTCTGCTTAGCAGGGCTGAGCTTTTTACTGTGACAGCAGCAAGGGCTGGAAGGGGAGGGGCTGAGCTCCAGGCCCCAGAGAAGCAGGGAAAGGAGGATACAGATTCAGTCGCTCACGAGGAGGAGAGCGAGGCGCACGAGCAGCAATGCACCCCCTCACACAGCGAGAACATCACCCCACTCTGCTCCACGCCGGCCTCCCTCCCAGCATTCACTTTGCCTCATCCTTCTATTTCAATTAGTAACAAATGATTCCTAATTACTCTCATTAGTGCCTGTGCTGATTCCAATGCCTGATTTACCAATTACCACTCTTATGGAATTGCTGGCTGGGGTGAAGCACGCAGGCTCCCTGGGACAAGGAGGGGGGGGGGGTGGGGGGGGGGGGGGGGTGGGGGGTGAAGCTGCTGGGAAAGGGAAAACACCCCCCACTTTCCTTGATCCTAATCAAGGTACCGCGTTGAGTCTAAGGGACACAAGGCAGCAGAGCACTTGGGGATTCAATGCAAACCCTGCGTGTCCCCACACAACCTTAAAAAAAAAACAAAAAAAAAAAAACACTCTCCTTGAAGCGCCGGCAGCAAAGGCAAGAACCCTGACGTGAAGTCCAGGGATGATGTCCCAAGCGTGCCCCCCACCCCCAATCAATGAAAAAAACAACTCCCCATTGACTTCACTGGGGCACGGCTAGTCCATGTCTCAACAACTGAGGCTCAAGAGCTGGGAGAGGCCCAGAAGTGCTCCCGGGGTAGGCTGCACAAAGGACCTGCGGCATCCAGAGCTATATTTCAGAATGAAAATGTCCCCTTCCTCAGCACCAACCTCAGACAAGACCTGGAGCTGCAGCTGGACTAGCACCCTGGCATCATAACAGGGAGACAAGCAGGGGAGGGGAGCAGGCAAGAAACACTCTAGTCCCAGGAAGGAAAATTCACTAAGCAATGCTGTGAGAGGCAAGGCAAATTTTCAGCCGAGCCATGGATTGGGAGCAGGAGTAACGCAGAGCGAGAGGAAAACCCTCCACATTTACTAATGCTTCCAATTTCTGGCCTACACTTAGTAGAAAACTGGAAACCTTAAAGAGAAGAGGAAAAAAAAAAAAAGAGGTGGGGGCGGGGGGGGAGAAGAATAACAAACACAGAACAGATGGACGTGCGGAGATGAACAAACACAGGGATGCATCAGGCATTGCCCGTCTCCAACCAGCCCTGCTGTAGCAGAGGAAATACGGTGGAAGGCTCGACTCTTCCCTCCACCACAGCAATTCGACAGTTATTCCCAATTTACACCCAGGGTAAAGGAAGAGGAGTTTAGCACATCAGGAGTTCAGCAGCGAAGCATCTTCTCCAGAGCCTGCTTCTCAGCCCCTCCTGCCACCATCCAGAGAGAAGAGACCTTGAGCAAGTCCCAGCAGCTGAACTGGGGGAGGCATCTCAAGCCATGGGGTGCAGAGCACTGGAGGGGCCTGGCACCTCTGCACAGGTTAAGCCTTGCCAGAAGGAAGATGAACCAAAGTAGGAACGGGGGAGGGCATGGGAAAACGGGCAGAGGAAGGGAAATGAGAGCAAGGAGACCCTAGCTCTGGAGCAGGGAGCCGCTTACCTCACTCCCAGGAGCCCTCCCAGCTCTCGCAGGCAGGAGGGAGGAAGATCAAGTGGGACAGGCTCAGGCGCCCTGTTCCCTCTGGTTGCCTCCAGCAGCTCAGATAGGAGGAACAGAATTGCTAAGGCAGCCAGGAAACGGACAGAGGAGGGAAATGCTGAGGCAGCATCAGCAGCTCCAGACATAGCAGCAACCTCAGGACCAGTGGGACCGTCTCTGCAGAGACCCTGACTGCACTGTAGTCGAAGCAGCCACGTGGGAATAGCGATGCGTCACAGCTATCAACAGCACCCCCAGACTGACAGTGAGATCTGCTCTCCAGGGAGCTGGGGAGGATTCCCCGTCAGCCTCAGGGGTCCCTAGTCGATGCAACACAAAGGCAATGAATGCATGGAGGAACTGCTTCTGCACTCGAGTAGAAGACCCTGCAACTCATCCCACCAGTGATAAGTCAGGCTCCTGATGCAGAATTAGTTAAATTTCCAACCACCCCTCAGGCCAAGAACTTACCTGGTATTTCCCACCAGCACCCAAGAGGTCCCCTTCTTTCAGCCAGGTGACGATAGGCTTGGGGTTCCCAAAAGCCATGCAGGTCAGAGTGATACTGCTGCCTTCCTTTGCTTCTACGTACTGCGGGGGAGTTTCCGTGAAGGTGGGGGGAGCTGCAGGGGGCAGAGACAGACCAACGTGACACTTGCTGCAAGGCGGCAGTCCATGCAAGGCAACATTATCGTCCAAATGGGCTTTCAGAGCCAGGCGTGCTACACTGAACCATCATATACTTACCCAATCATGTCAAGCGCCAAGTGTAATACAGCCACATACAACAGCCCTTTCACCATAGCAAAAGTGCTTAACAGTTCCTTCCCCTAGAGAAGCTCTCGGCCAAGACAGCTGGCACTTCCCAGTGTTTGGCTGCTAATGTCAGGAGCCTCCGTTTTTATTCAGATACTCTGAGATCCCTCCACAGTGCACCAACAGAGCAGATGAAATCACAGGAGCTCGGATTGCCCCCACATCACCCAGAAACAGAAGCACTCGAAGATCAGTGGCCCCTTTTGAAAAAACTAGCCGCAGTGATTAAGCCCCACCACTCTCCTGTGAGCGCTTCTGGCCCTGTGGGAACAGGGAGGTAGAGAAGTAAAATACAACCAGCTGGAGGCCACGCAGCCAGTGAGCCGCATGGCTGGTCTAAGACAGCCTCCTCGCTCCCAGCCCTGGGCTCTGGCATGGTAGTGCACTCTTCAGCTCTGTATTTCTTCTCCCATTATGCATTAACTTGCTATTGTCACAACACATGAAAACACTGCAGTGCAGATCGCAAGTCTCCTTCTGATTAAAGAGGCTGGCAGCATTACAGTACACTCCTAATTATCAGGAGCTGCTAAACCCGCTTTCCAGGAAGACACGTTGGCAATTTAATCAGCTCCGAGAAGAATTATATTTTGTGTCACCCGAAAATGAATTTTGTCCCCCGTAAGGAAATGAAGTGGTCCAACGCAATCTGGAAGGGCTGAAGCCTGCCCTCAAACTCATTCTGCTGATATTGTACAACTGGGAGAGGTTATTAACATTATTATTTGGCCACTGGTTATCGAGAGCTCAGTGCTATACAGCCCCAGAGGAGGACAGGGCGACACAAAGCTACTGAGCATGTAGGGGACCCTCTGTGAGGAAAGCTTATAGATTATCCTAGCAGAAAGGATTGCTTTTAAAGCACAGTGTGCAAGGGAAACTATGGAGCCTTCCAGGGCCTGCCCTTCACTCTTGAAGGAGAAGAGGGTCTTATCAGACTTAGCCATGCCACGAGGAGAAAGGGAGAGGAATTAGCCCAGAAGTGCCTTCTATTGCTGCTACAGGATCTGCAGTCAGCAGACCTGAAGCCTCATTAGCTGTTGAATATGACAAGACAGACTCCCAACGCCTGGGGTGAACGAGCCAGCTACAAGTTGGTTTACTTTTGCACTCCATTAGGTTTGGTCAATGAAACAGCAGTGGTAAGCTTCTCTTCCTTGTTCTGGTTCTCATGTACAGCCAAGGCGCTGTGGGATTTGGACCATGCAACGCCTTCTGCGTACACTGAAAACCATGCAGCTTTGATAGTAGTTGAGAGTTTTATTCTTCAACATTCTCTCAATCTTAAGCATGTCTCCAAACACCTCCATGACCAGATTATTATGACCCTCCCATGATTTCCTAGACCGTAGAGCTGGAAGGGACCTCGAAGATCAAGTCCAGCCCCCTGCCCCAGGGACAGGAAGTCAGCTGGGGTCAAAAGATCCCAGCAAGATAAGCATCCAAGTGATTCTTGAATGAGTCCAGAGTAGGTGCTTGCACCACTTCTGGAGGGAGTCTATTCCAGGTCTTGGGGGCTCAGATCAACTCCCAAGGCTTTTGTTTTAAAATTTCTGCAAATGGAGGCAAGCAAAGCCAGGCAGGTATGAAACGAATGGACACGAATGATTTCTGGGATCAAGGCACCCCATAGGGAATATGGACTCTGAGTCCCATCAACCAGAATACTTTCTGATTTTGGGTGCCTTGCATTCTTGATTCCCAGCTTGGAGTTGTGGGTCACTCCCACAATCAGTCAAGCCCTAATCATTTTAAGCTGTGCCTGTGAACCCAAATGCAGAACCATCTGGACTGTGAAGCCAAACCAGGAAGAGCCAGCCTTCACCTCTCTGCTTCCATCCTCTCCTCCTCCTCCTTCAAGCAGGAATAGTTCTAGTGCCTTTCACAGGTACTGCAAGAAGCTGATTTAATTAGAGCTGAGCTCTGCTGTCTACTGTGCCTCTGAACTCAGCTGCTAGGAGCAGCACAGGCCCTGGGAGCACAGTCTGCCCTTTGTGCAAAAGACTCCAAGGCATTTGGCTAAAAGGTGTTATGCAAGCGCAAGGGGCTTATTAACAAAGCAGGGCAGGCTGCTCTGTTCTAATGATCCAGCCCCCCAGCTGTGCCCAGTCTCTTCTATAGGCAGCAAAAACAATTCAAAGATGCCACTAATCTTCCTTTTTTTCTTCTACCTGCCCTCCCCTAGCATCTTCCACCCAGTGATGTCAAAGCATTTCACAAGCCGGAATTTAGTGTTACAACAGCCCAGGGAGATAAGATCACTCCCATTTCACAGCCAAGGAAGCCGAGGAACAGGAAACCAGCTGCAGAACCAAGAACAGGCTCAGGGAGCCTTGGCCCCAAGTCTCCTGCTCTAGTCATTAAGTCCAAAATGGGCAGACACAATCTCAATGTTACTTACTCAAAGCTAAAAATAGCCCTTCTCCCAATGTGACAAATTACAAACTGCTTTATAATGAGGTACAAAGGAAAAATAAGAAGTCATTTCAGTAAATCTGAGTTAAGAAAAATAAAGATATGATTTTCTAATTTACTGAAACAGGCAATTTTCCCCAGACACGTTACTGATTCCCCTCCCCCCCCCGCCTTTCAAGTTCTACATAATTAAACTGTGTAATTACTAATAAAAGTTAGTCTGTTCTGTAAGTAATGTTCTTACTTAAAATAAAGCCCGGATTTTTTTTTTTTTTTTTAAAGATGAAGATGTAATTGAGGCTCACTCTCAAGCAGAGATTGAAGAGAAATTCACGCCGGTATATATTTGGAGCTCATTGCTGGAGTGATGTGCCCGGTGCTTCTGCTTTCCTTGCTTCCGTTCTCTCTACTGGAGAAAACACTGAAGATGGGCTCTTGTAGTTCTCGGCATCCCCTTGAAGCTCTGTCACCGTACCTCTGTACTAAGCAGCAAGTACATTGGCAGAAACTATTTGTTCTTTCCGGCTTCTGCTATGCAAAGAGGAAGGTTCCTCTGAGGGGCCAGGTAAAACTAGATTGCTACTTGTTCTGGGAATCATAGACTCATATCACTCTTCCCAGTGTTCACTAGGAACAAGGTACTGCCCTTATTTCTCTCAACTGCGATTTTTAACCAGAGGCAAGAGCTTTGCAGAGGACCAAGCAAGCCTTTGTTGCTTACCCAAAATTGTGTTAAGGGATGCTCAGCAGCAGGCAGGAGATATTAAAATAGGATCCCAGTCACAAGTGCTCCTTAAGAGGTGCTGGGAGATCAGCACCTGCTCCTCAGTGGTCACACAAGGGCAAAGCAGCACCAAGCAGGCAGGGGGCATGCAGGATTCTCCCCAAAAGCCTGCAGCATCCCAGTCTGTCCCCAGCTCCCTGATGCACCAACTCCTGATCCCCATGTTATTGCAGTCCAAGCCTCCCAGAGCTGTACCGCTGCCCCTCAGTCCTCACCTGCCCCATCCTCTACTCCCCACATGCAGCCTCCCCCACATCTCTGCCAGCCCTGACTGCAGCAGCCGGTGGGAAGCTGCTGCCAATTCTGGACACGCTTGTTACCTCATCAGGCCTGAAATCCACATGCTTAAGGTGCACAAGAGCAGCCTCCTATGCTTTAGGCTGCAATAAAATCCAGCAGGACCATTGACATTCACATGGCTGGAGAACACACTAGATGCTCAGAAATCTAATCACAGCATTAAATGCAAGTTCAGAGACTAAACACATGGGAGGGTTTCTAGAAACTCAGGCAGCCAGATTCCAGTCCCCTCACCCATATGGCATCCTGCCTTCCTGCATGCGAGTCTCCTCTGAAACCAGAGACTCCTTGCTGCAACAGAGCTGCCCAGCATGTGGTAGGGGCTGTGCTTCACGATCATGCTGCAATGTACTCCCTCTACCTTGCCCTGTATGCACCCTGCTGGCTCCAAATGAAGAGAGTGATGAACGAAAGCACGTTCTTTATCGCACTCTTTTCTTTCCATCCACTCAGAACTTGGCATCCAAATCCCCAGTCTCAACGGCTCAGCAACTGGCTTTTTATCCCAGGGACCCGAAGAGAAGGCCTATGAAATACAATGCACTTGAACTTGCAGTCTCCAAATGCTGCTTTTAAAAAGACTAAACAGAGTCCTCAAAAGAAAGCAGCTTCTCAGAACCATAATCAAACCATAGCTCTGAGCTCTTCTATAGATGTAGCATCAGCTGAATAAAATCAGTTCTCAATTTGGTTTGCTTAAATTGGAACAAACTTGTGTGGACAGTTATTAGAAGCCCTGAAACATGCTAGATCCCCCCTGCTGTCAAGGCATCTGCTAGCAGCCCTTGGGCAGCTGCCTCCCCACCACTGTTGCTGGCCCAGTTAGAGAGAGAACCCTCAAGTTACAAAGCAAACACGATGCAGTTGACCACAGGGGAAAAAAAAAAAATCAAAGGTACTAAGCAGACAACAGGGCTGAAAGATACTATGCATTTAAGTAGCTGATGCACTAAGCCACTGTGCAAACTACAAGTCCCAACAGGTCAATACCCCTGCCAGCTTACTGTTTAGCTGCTGGAAGCTAGCAGGAAGTCTGTTTGGAGCCATTCTGTGGATCCTGCTTTTTGCCCCCTTGAAATCCTCCTGTGAAGTTTGCTAAAAATGGTCCTGTCAAAATCTCAGTCTGAGTGCCTGTTCCCATCTGCAGTATCACTTTCTGTTCCATCCCACTCAGCCCTTTTAAGTACGTCCATGCTCCTTGTGCTAACAAAGCATCTGACTGCTCCAGCTTCTGCATGGCCACAGCCTGGCTGAAAAAAAACAAGTCAGATCTTCCACAGCTGGGTTACTCCCCGGTTCAGCCGGCTAGTTCCCGATTGCTCCTGGCTGGTAGGTCACTTTACTGTCCAACCTGGATCTAGCCCAGCTCGCCTTCAATACTCCAAAGCTAGCTACCCATCTTTAAGGTGATCCATCTTCCTCAAAAGAGAGAATAGGAGCGCCCCTCATCAGCAATGAGCTTAGAGCTTCTTCCCTCCATCCCCAGGGAGACTCACAACTGTAGCACAAATAAGAAAACCCAGAGGAGCAGAAAGTGTAACCAACAGGCTGGCGGTGACTTGCTCTTGGCTGTGCAGGTTTGAGCGGTGACCAAACTGGAGGAGGGGGAAGGATGATCTTCAAGGAAAGGCTGCATGCAAGAAAGTACAGAGAGTGGTGCTGCTGACTCCAGAAGCTCTCCCTGCTGAATCAGTTTGGAGCCCAGAAAGCTTCCTGGGCTCCACGGCCTGCCAGGCTGCTCACTGGGCTATTTTTCAGATGAGATGCAAAGAATTAGGTCCCATTCAGCTACAGTCACTAAAGCACACCTAGGGCACTGGGAAGGAGTCAGGGTGCTAGCCTGGGTGCTCCAGGGACCATCTCTTCCACTGCCCAGACTCTCTCTCCCAGCTGCCTGACCTAACACTGGACTCTGCCGCACTTCCTAAATGCTCACACTAAGATGCTATTAAACAGCTGCAACTTTCACCCCCAGAGCTGGCTGCATTGAAAAACTGAAGGTAGAAACTAGTGTCCTTCCCTTGTTTCAGAAGTGTAGGAGGCTTAACCAATTAGTTGGCGGCAGCCTGAGTGGATAGCGTTGCAATATCACACAGGAGGCCTGGCTCAGCTGGGCGACCTTAGATTGGTCACATCATGGTTCTGTGCCTCAGTTTCCATATTTCTCAAATGGGGATAACTACGCTTTGTGGAAGGATTTTGAGATGTATTGAGGGAAATGCTACAGAGTGGTGCTGTACAAGTGGAGAGTTGGAGCCTCCCCCCCTGCAGTAAAGTCTCCACTGAAGATCTCCCCTCCTGCCCAACTTTCTCTGTTTGCATTTTGTTCGCTGAGCAGGATCTCAGAAGTGGCAGCAGATGGGGCCTTGGGGCACGTTCTCAATGGATGGCTCTTCTCCACCTAGCTTGGGGGATGGGGCTTGTCGTGAGTGACAAGAACTGCTAGCTGCCAGCTTCAGAAGATCTCCGAAGGAGCTGGGAGACAACTGGGGCAGGAGGGGCTCTGTGACTCCATCCCACCTCCATGCGCATCACAGGTGCACAGTGCAGACATGGCACAAGACAGGAGCCCAGGCCTGGCAATTCCTAGAACTCTGTCCAGCCAAGCCCAGAGGGAGCAGACAGCCTATCTGCAAGTGGGGAGCCATCCCCTCCCCGCAAAACACTTACCATTGACTGTGAGGTGAACCCAGCTGCCGTTGTGGAAGGTGTCGTACTGCTGATCCAGCATGAGCACTTTGCACTCATACCAGCCCTGATCCTCAGAGCGAACTTGCTCGATGCGCAGAGATGCCTTGTCGTGAAGGCTGGCACGGCCTGGAGAGACAAGAGCCACAGAAGTCAGCTTGTCCTGGGAAGAGGCACTTCTGGGGTCTTTCTGCAGTGCCCCTGCCACCCACCCTCCCAAAACAACATCCTACCAGAGCATCCCACGGGCCCATCCTCCCCAAGACCCTGGGAGTGCTCCATTTGCAATACCCCGCTGCATACACAGACCCCAGCTCAGAGCACTCTGGCCTCTGCCTTGCACTTCCAGCTCAGACTCACTGTCCTGATGGGCTGCTCAGGGCAGCCTGGACAAATAAGCAGCCAGGGAGCAAGGGGTGGCTCAGCATATTGGCCCCTCTTAGCCAGCTGCTTTTGTGGGGAGCTACTGGAGTCTCACCTCCTTAGCAGCAAGACAGGGCAAGAAGCAGAGCAAAAAAACCACAAAACACTCAGGAGCTGCAGCCTTGTCCTCTCCCTCTCCTCACCTCCATGCCAAGGTTCCCATTACAACTAGCTCCCCCTCATCTCTCCTCTTCTACTGGCAACCCCAGTCTCCCAGCAGCTGAGTACCTGAGGTGCTGCAGATGGCAGCCAGGCTCCCTGCCCCCTTGCTAATCCCTGCCCAGGGAGTGGGATGTAAAGCCATCTCTAGGTCAGCACTTCCTGGACACCCCTCTGCCAGGCAGTTTAGGGGTATGCTGCCACAAACAATGTGTGGAAACTGGTCCTCACCCTTCCAAGCGAGGGTCACCATCACTGCCTGGGACCTTCAAGCAAGCAGAGCAGGCTGTGGGCCCAGAGGAACCGAGCTGGTCTCCAGCATGCTTTACCTTTCTCTGACATGTCACCATCTCTCTTCCTTGCTGGGCAGATGCTGCCCCCATTTTATTGAGGTGCACAGAGAAGCAGCAGCTGCCCCCAACTTGAACAGCCAAGAGGCAGAGAGTGCAGGAGCTGCGCCTCCCTGCTGAAACACCCCACCTCACTTCTCCCCACTGCAGCCCAGTCCTGCCACTGGGCACGGGACCAAACCTTTTCACAAGGTGACAGGGATTTTCACTCTGCGATACCTCGGGCCCAATTTTCTGAGGCAGCGAACACCCACAATACCTCTGCCAAGTCACAGCCACGACCCCAAGAGACATGTCCTTTCTTTGAGCTAGCACCCATAGCCACAGCTAAGCGAATGACAGAGACTGGCAGCAGAGAGGTCAAGGATGGGGCACAAAGAGCTAAGTCCACTAGCCAGGACAATCCATCCAGGGAAGGCAGGGCAGGCCTGCGGGCCTGCCTGGCTCTGTCTGTGGGATGAACAGGACGTCAGTCCAGCCCAGAAGCTGCGGTATGATCAGAGCCAGCCTAATGGACCAATTAATATTCTTGAACAAGTCAGGGCACTCCCGGCAGCCTATGGCTACAGCAAATCGACCATCCAGGCCTGGCACAGCTGCAGCAGAGTGGGAGCATGCCAGTGACCTTGGAAACAGCAGCACACTGAGCAGGCACCCACGCACCCCTATCACACCACTGCTTCTAGTCACTGCAGGTGCTCAGCGGTAGGAGGAGGGACGCTGCTCCAGCCAGCCAGCTCCCAAGCTGGGGATTTCCAGAGACAGGAGTGCAGCCTCGTGCTAGCAGCTCCAGGCTCTGCCCACCACCCCAGCTAGAGATAGGCACAGAGAGGAGATATCCAGCAGCAGTACCAATACTTGCAAAGCAGGGCTTACTCCCCTCACACCAAGTTAAGTCCATGGGGCTCAACACAGCAAGGCCAGGTCTCCCACCCCCAGGTAACAAACCGCTCCCCTCCTCGTGATTGCAACAATCCACTGTTTCAGCAGAGAATTCAGTGCAGCCAGGATATGGCCCCCACAGCAAAGTGGCAGATAGGAAGTACTCCCTAAGGATGTTCCCCTGGCATATCTGCAACCCCCTCCCCCAATAGGTAATGGGCAACTGGCCCTGCTGGCACCATGGCAGATGACTCTCCTAGCACAGAGGATGGGAACTTCCTCCACAGAAAAGCAGCATACTGTCCTAAATGCCCTTTTCAGAAGTTACTCTGGTGCATAAATCCCTATGATCTGCAGGAAAATGTGGGCCCCCCTGATTACCTGGCATCTGTGACAGTGGGCTCCTGGCTCTAGGAGTTGTTTTGGAAAGTTGACCCATGCCAGTCCTCACTAGTGAATTCAGCCCTCCCACCTGGGAGAGACTGAGAGCAGTAACTGGAGCCAGGGCTCAAAGCACTGAGCAGGATCCCAGCTTTGCCAATGCCTCTGCAACACCCCTGTGATGCCCAGCCTGAGTGGAGACCAACTCCTCCACACACCGCCAGCATGGTGCAGGGGGTGGGAGAAGGGAATGAGGTCACCAGAGTCATTTTACTGCCTCCTGGGATTCAAACTCTGGCCTGCGCCAGGAAGGGCTGGTGCATTAACCCAGTGACCTGCTCCACTCTCCCTGCCGTAGGAGCGCTCTCCTTCCGTGCACTGTGTCCCCATTCCAAGCGCCCACTCAGCGCCCGGGGAGCCTGCTGCCGAGAGATGACTCAGCCACTGAACCCAGGCTGCTGGGAGGAATAATTGCGGAGACAAATGCAAATCAGGCAGGGTTAGCCTCTAAAGCCAGGCAGGGAGAGAAGAGCTGGCCTTACTGGCCAGAAGAGGAGTAGAAAATCCAGCCAACTCAAGACAGTCACTTCACTTCTGACCAGACAGGACAAAGGCCCCAGTGAGCCACCAGCTGGTTTCCCTGGCAGACATCACCCGAGGCCTGCCAGCCCCCAAGGGCTGCCGCTGGGACCTCGGGCCTCTGCCCAATTCCCACTTCCCCTGGGGAAGGACAACTCTGTGGGGCCAAGCCAAGTATCCCGGGTTCCTTCTCCAACCCCAGACCCATGCTCACACCTCCCCCTTCCAGAGGCTGGTGACCCAGAACAGAGGGAAGCCTCCCTTAGCTCACCGCTCCCTGGCACTAGCCTCTAGGCCTCCTGCCAAGCACCACACAGGAAAGTCTCCCAACTGTACAGGCCCCCCCACCTCCTAGCCAAGTGGCTCCACGTCCTGGATCTGTTACTTGCCCCATCTCATGAAGGGGTCAGCCATGGACAGGTCTGCCTGCCGCATGGCTTCTGTTCTGCATCTACCCTGGGATGGGATTAAAGCCCACCCAGTCTCTGACTTTGGAGCGTGCCATACCCCATGTCCCTCCCCTCCCTATCCAGCACTTTAGGCCACCGATTCTGCTGTATCACATCTCCATTGACCTCTGTCCCCTGGGACCCAAGCCCTGGGAAAGCATCTCTGCCCAGCACATGCAAATAGCAGACTCTGCTGCTTATGGCTCCTTGCCCCAACTGCTCCCAAAGGCAGGCTAATGGGAGGCGGAGGGAGACCTGGGATGGTGTTTAAGGCAATGCAATAGCCTCTCTCATGCACGTGGTTCTGTCAAACAAGGCCAGGTCACAGCCAGGAACCACCTCATCTACATCCTCTCCCTTGCATCTGGATGGCTTGCAGTACCTCTGAACTAAACTCCCCTCCTCTGAGCTGCCCGTGGCATCCTAGGCCTATGTACCATGAGCCCAGCCCCTGTCAGATGGCAGGGCCCCTTCACAGGATGGCCAAGGGCAGGAGAGAATGGGGAAGCTCAGAGGAAGCATGGGAGGATGGGTGGAGACCAGGAGCACAGTCCTCATTTAACTGAGGCCCCTATGGACAGCACCTACAGAAAAAGCTGACTGACAAGCTGCCCCGTGCCACCTGCCCTTCCTTCCCCAATCACTCCACTTGGGCCATGCCAGTCTCCTTGCCAGGTTCTGGCTCCCCAACACATTTGTTTACCTGCTTTGCAGAGGTGCCAGTCTGGCTACTCCAGTGCCTTCAATCGGAGCAGCGGGCACAGGGCAATTCTGAGGACGCCACGGGTGCCCCTCACCTCAACAGGCCCCGAGCTCCAGGGAAGTCCAGATGCTACAGCTTGATGCCACCTCCCCTCATCCCATGTAGCTCCCTTCTCCACCATTCCCAGCAGAGGCATCCACCTGAACCTTGCAGCCAGGTAGAGGGGTACGGCGCAGCCGGCAGGCTAAGCCTCACGCTCTGGAACAGCGGGAGGTGGCAGCGGCTCCTCTGTCGAGGATGCCGAGCAAACACTGCGTCCCCACCAGCAGAGCCCCAGGCTCTCAGCTGTTCCAGAGAGCAGCAACTGCTGCCGCCAGCAACCGCGGTTTCACTGCTTTGGCTCTTCTCGTCCTACGCAGCCCAGCTGGCTTCCCGACGCTGCCGCTTAATTAAAACCAACCGGGTGTAAAGAATGGAATGAAAGGGAGAGAGAGAGAGACACAAGCTCCTCGAGGGGAGCAGGGTTGGATACGTTCCTGGGCCAAGCAGCCGGCTCACAGCGGGCTCCAGGAGAGCAGAGAAGCCGAGTCCTCATGTGCCACTGAGTGCCGGGGAACGCAGACTACGGCCTACACCCTAAAGGGAAGGAATTGCCCCTCGTGCCCCCCACCTCTGGGACCAGGGGGAAAGGGGCCAGCTGTGCCTCAAGACCAAGGAAGTTGAGGAGAGCGAGTCTTGGATTCTGCCAGAAGAACGCACTGGTTGCTCCAGGTACAGACCGATGGAGTAGTGGGTGAAGAAAGCCGATGGGAAGAGCCATCACACCCCCACACCTCTCTCAGCACAGAGTTCAGCCCGCCCCACTGCAAGACTCACCTGCATATTCTGGGTCCACATGGGGAGGGTAAAACCCGAACTTGATGAAGATGGGAATGGGGACTCCGAACTTGAACCACTCCACCACATAGGGAGGGGGCTGCCCTGTCAGCGGGTGGATCACGTCGCATCCCAGAATCACGCTCTCGCCAGCACGAGCCGTCACAAACTCGGGTTCCTCCCTTGAGCCGTGGGCACCTGGAGGAAGAAGTGGAAGAGCCAGACACACTGTCAGCGGTTCTCATCACGAGACCACTCCATAATGCCCACAAGGAACTACACGGACCCCTTTGCCAACAGCCGGGGCACAGGACACACCAGCAGTCAGGGGCCCCAGGTCCAGAGGTAGCAGGAAGTGACCTGGGATGTTGAGATACGGAGGGTGTCCAGATTGCACATTAAGGGAGTGACCCATGAGACCAGGCTTGTGAAGTGCAACCAGCCAGCAGCAGTGCCCGCTGATGCCACTGGGTGCAGGAAGCAGAAAGGACCATGATGCCATATGGGGAAGGCAGAGCTAGAAGGATAGCCCTCCCCATGGCCACTGCTTGCCATGGTTACCCAAAGGCTCGTGCTGCCTTCCCAGCAGTCTGCAGGCCTGGCCCAGAGTCAAAGCAGTGCAAGGGCTGCGTGCTCCACATGCCACAACACCCCTGATGCCCAGCTGGCAGGCAGGCCCCGAGGGCTGCCCGAACCATGCCTGGTGCCAGCCCTGCCAGGCTCTCATCAAGATTTAAAAAGCACTTTCCTCACCCCCAGCCTGCTCTCTGAGCCAAAAGCAAAACTCCCTTGCTGCTGCCAGAGGAGTCAGCTTGCCTACCACTGCCTGGACAGCCAGTGCCAAGCCCATCAGTCATCAGAGCCTGCCAGAGCAGGAAGCTCTGTGAAGACCAGCTTCCATCTGAGGATGACTGGGTGGCTGCTACATAGCTGGATCCATCACTTGGGTTCTCCATTTAGGTATCCAGCCTGGGCCTGCAGCTTCCAACGAGCATCCAGGAACTGATGCCTGGACCCGATTCAGAGCTCAGGAGCAAACCCCTCTGCAGCAACTGCAAGCTGGGAGCACGGGCAGCTCTGCTGGCTGAAAGGGGAAGGACTTACCACAGGTCAGCTGAGGGCGCAGCAACCGTTTCACTTGTCGCGTCTATCCCATGGGAAGTAGAAGCTAAACCATAGTAATGTACCAGGTGCTTCATTCGGGGGTGAGTTACTGTGGCCTGGCTTTGCTCCCTGTGGGAGAGGGCATGTGAAACAGCTGCACTGGATCAGCGGACCCACGCTCACAAGGGGCATATCCTCTGAAGCAGCAGGATTGCTAGTGCGCCCACAGTCCGAGGCACAACTCAACCCTCAAAGCCTCCCAGCCAGCCACACTGCAGGGGTGCAAACAAGGTCTGGGACAGGCACCAAGAGCCCCCAAAGACCACTGTGGGGCAGTTCAACGGCCCATCCCTGGGACCAGCAGCATTAAGCCAGCATGGCCCAGCAGCTCTGCTTGTGTGCAAAAGCCACAGCACAGGCAAGAAGGCAGCGGGGTCTGCTCTGCCAAGCCCCAGAGCATGCAGGCCCCACTAGATCAGCTCCACACAGTGCAGAGGCTTCCTGCTAAGGCCCAGCTGCAGAGCCGTTTTCAGCTCAGCACGTGGAGACTCCCTCCAAGGTGACCTTCCCCCACCGGATTCCCCACCCCCGGGCCCAGGTGCCCTTCCCTCCCTCCCTCCCTGGCAGAGGAGGGGCGCCGGCAGCAAATGCACAGCTCTTCTCACAGCTCCGTGTCACCTAATAATATCTTTGGGGACGTCTCTCTTCCCTGCAGCAGGGGAAACATCCATTCATAAACCCACTCACCACGCCAGCCAATTACCGCGCGGAGCTACAACCCCCTGGAACAGGCATTTCAAAGGGAAAGCGCTGACGCAGCTGGGGCTGCAGAGCAGCGAGTGGTGACAGCGTCACGCAAACAGCCGCACAATGAATTAGACTCAGTGAGGCCTGGGAGCGGGAGCCTAAATCGCACACGTACATGCCTCCCTGACTCGAGCCACAGGACTCTCTTGCTTGCCTACCCCCACAGGCCTGCAGCCTCATCTCCCGTGAGCACAGCCAGGGATGGACCCCATTTTCCAGTGCACAACCTGGCAGGACGGCCAAGCTCAGCCTCATCGCTGCGGGTAGAGGAAGAGTCAGGTGCTGCGGAAAACTGCAAGTTAACTGGTGCTGCAGCGGACAGCACTTTTACTGGAGGCTGTATTAGGCCAAAAGCCCCAGGGTGAGGCCGCGCCCGGGGGGGAGCGGGGCAGATCTCCTGAAGATCCAGCCTTTCCAGTGGAGCAAAGGACCTCACAGCTCGTATACCAGGGCTCTGGCCAACATCTAACATGGACTCACACTGCCGACATGTCAAGTTGAACAGCTGCAGCGTTCCACCCCAGCAGAGGCTGCATTTCAAAGACAGGTGAAATGCACCTTGTCCACCCACCCTCAGCTCCTTCCATCCCTCCCTCTCAGAGCACTTTCTAAAGATCAGCACCCTTGTCACCAACTTGCAGATGGACAAACCACTCCAATGCAAGTTCTCAGCTAGCGCTCCTTCCCTGCTCCCCACAGCACCTTCTGGTAAAGGGCTCCGAGGCCTCTCCGAGCAGCCTGCAGCAGCCAGCACAACGCCTCAAAGCAGCCGTTGCTGCAAAGTGCCAGGACTGCCATAGCTACCAGCTCCCTTGGAGCTCCCTGTCCTACAACTAACACCTGCAAAGCAGGTACGGGGTTTAGGAAAGAGGGGGAGCCTCTCCCAGCCACGGTTTCTGCCTCCTACCACCTAACAGCCAGAGGCACCACATTCATGCACTGCCATTTGCACCAGGTTTGTCCATCAATGTAAATACCCCAGGCACTGACCAGCTCATTCCAGAGGGCAGGTTGCCGTTCCTGGCCACCTCGCAGCAAAGAGCTGCAAGTAGGGGCTATGTTATCGCTTGAGTAAAGAGCTAATGTGGCCTGAAAGGGACCGAAGCCAAGAACACATGATGCTGGCACCACTGTAACTTAGCCGGGGGTTAAGTGATGCCAGTCCCTATTCCACAGTACAGCAACTACTTCTGGTGTAAGGCTTTATGCCATGTGTTCACGCCACCTTTGCCTTAGATTAAATCCAAACTCCTTTGGAGTAAAAACCCTGCGGTGTCTGCACCTCATGGGAAAAGGCCAGCACTTAACTAGTTGCGAGCTCCCCCTATAGCAGCTGTCCAGCAGCATTTGCTGGGGCAGTGCCTGAGGGACTTGGAGCCACTAGCGTGAGCTCAGCAGGGCTCAGACAGAGCGGAAAGCCCCTTCTCATTGCTAGGCATGAAGCTGCATGGGCCGCTGCCTGCTCCAGCCAGGGCTCTCGAGGGAGGCACCTTCCCAGCTCCTTTGCTCTGCTCTTCAGGGCTGGCGCTGATTGGCAGAGGGTGACATCACTGTTTTTCCACAACAGGAGTGTAAGATCACGGGTTATTTTGGGCTCAGACACATGTAAACCAACCAATGGCCCCATGGGCCGTATGTGGCCCTGGCAGGCTCACAATCAAAGCCCCTTCGGGGGTAAGGGAGCCAGGTGGCCTTGGCACCACAGTGAGCAGCAGCACGCTAGGAGAGCGCAGGCAGCAGCCAACGCCGCTCTCTTCTCTGCACGCTGTGCCCTCTGCCCGCTGTGCCAAGGCCGGGAAAGAGAGGTCAGGCTGGCAGCTCAGGGAACAGGACCCATCCCAGGACCCAGGGCTCAGCTGGGGCAGAGGGAGGAGTGTAATCAGGGTGCTGAGCATCACAAAAGCAATCAAGGTGCATGTCACTTGTGTTTGCAGGATGTGGGACATCCAGAGACAAGCTCCTGGAGAGAAGCAGGGTTGGATATGTTCCTGGGCTGAGCAGCCAGCTCACAGCAGGCTGCAGGGGAGCAGAGGGGGCTGATTCCCAATAAGCCATCAGGTGCCAGGGAACATGCACAGTGCAGCTACACCCCAAAGGGAAGGAGAAATCACCCCCTCACACTCCACCCCTCTGGGGCAGGGGGGACAGCTGTGCCTCAGAGCCAAGGAAGCCGAGGAAAGCGAGCCCTGGAGTCTGCCAGAAGGGCACATTGCTGCTCCAGGCTGTGCTCGGGGTAGCTGGTGTGTGCCCCCAGTACCCCAGGAGTTCCTAGGTGCTCACTGCACTGCCTGTAGTGCACGTGGTACCTAGACACTCAAGATGCACACTTGCCACTGCAGAATGTGTGAGGTCCATGTCCAAAGCAGGAGGGGCATGCAGTAAGGCAACGCAGCCTGGCCCCAGCCCACCAACATGCAGGTGCTGTCCCAACCCCACATGCAGCTGCCACCTGGCTGGGCCTCATTATTGCTGCATCCCAATGAAGTCAAAGCTTTCACGCCTCATCACCCAATGAGATTATGCCATTGGTCCCCCCCCAATCCCAAAACCCAGGATGCCTGAAAGCAGGTCCTTGGTGCCAGCCTGCCCATGGCAGGATCCTGGAGACATCTCCTCCATGCCCCAGTGTAGACAGTGAGGAGTCAACACCATGGCTCCCTACCCTTCCCTACTTCAGCCCTGCAGCTGGCTCTACAGACACCCCCACAGCTCCTGCTGCAACATCTGGCAGAGACCCATCAGGGCAATGCTGTGGGAGGGGTGGGGGCTGTGCAGGGCAGGGCGGTCAGTGCACACCTCGGCCTCAGCCAGCATCTACTCAACCCGCCTGGGAGTCATCCCCAAGCCCTCCATCCAGCAAAGAAAGCCCCCGGGGCTTGTTGGGAGGCTTCACCAGCTCCCCACTCCATAGGTCCCCTCCCATGCAGGCCTGAGCTCCTGCACAAACCCCTGCAGGACAACAAGCTGTGGAGGAGCCAAGGAAAGCAAGACAAGCACTAGCATACCTAAGCTAGGGCCCAAACCTCTCCCGGTAGCTGTAATGGAGCTAGCAACAGAGCAAGAGCTGCAGGACTGCTCCAAGATGTCCCAATCACCCCATCTGGGGCAGCAAGGGGAAGGGAAGGTCATGTTAACCTTTCACCTCTGGGAGGTTTCTGCAGGAACCACTTACCCTGTTCAGAAACACAATGTCAAGCCCAGAGCCTCTGGCCACTGAGGCCCTGCCACTCCCACACCCCGAGAGGAGGGAGCCTGTCCCCAGCCCACCCTGGCCAGCCCTACGTTCC